ATCCTCAAACAGATGGTTAGTCTGAGCGTACCATTCAGACCTTGGAGGATATGCTGTGTGCCTATGTGATTTCATGGAAGGGAAGTTGGGAAGATCACCTAGCTTTGGCGGTTGCTTACAACAATAGTTATCAGGCTAGTTTTGGATGGCTCCATACAAAGCGTTGTATGGGCGTAGTTGTATTTCTCCACTGTGAGGATGTGGTTGGTGAGCGTTCCACAGTTGGTCCTAGTTGGGTATGGCGGACTTATGATAAACTACGTGAAATTTGACAAAACTTGTTGATTTCTCGGAGTTGGCAGAAGATCTATGCAGGTGTTAGACGGACGACTTTGGAGTTTGAAGTGGGAGATGAGATGTTTTGAAGGTTTAACCGACGAAAGGCATTGTTCGTTTTGGTACTAGAGATAAGCTTAGCCCGAGGTACGGTGGACCTTATGTGATTATTGCTCGTGTTGGTGCATTGGTATATCGGTTATAGTTGCTGAAGTCTATGGCAGGAGTGCACCTAGTGTTTCATATTTCTATGTTGAGAATATTTGAAAGACCTAGAGTAGCAAATGGAAGCTAAGCGAGTGATCATAGAATAAGACTTTGACAATGGAAAATTGCCCAGTGTTAGTGTTGTAGTCCTTTGAGCATGTGATGGACAACCATACTATCGAATATATCAAGGTCTTATGGACAAATCAGGCGCAGTGAGAAGCCACATCAGAGATGGAAGATCTATGTGCGAGAAGTTTGCAAAGCTCTTCGAGTTTGGTTGCATATGGTTCAGTCCTTATTACATTAGTAGTAGCGCTTGGATGAATTCGAGGACGAATTCCTAAAGGAGGGGAGAATGTAATACCCCGAAATAAATAAGGAATAATTAAGGGTTCTAATATAGATTATTTTTTTTTTAAAAAAAAAGGTTGACGGGACAACTTAAAGAGAGGCCAAAAATTGAATTTTTATCTATTACTTGGATGGATGATTGGAGACCATATTTGTGCAGAGCTCATCGAGAGCATTCCATTCGACTACTTATATGCATTAATCGAAGTTTGGATCACGAAGTTACATATGTTGTAAGCTTTGGGAAAAGGAAGGAAAGAAAAGTCCTAATCAGCTACAGTACAAGCGCTGCTACAGTACCGCAATGGGACCCAGTCCAGCCTTAGAGCATCTCCAAGAGTTTGCTGTCTTAACTTGGCATCCATATAATTTTGGCAAAATAAAAAAAAATAGCCTCCAACAGTTTGGCAAAACAACTTGGCATCAATAGCAACTTGGCAAATCTTCCCTCCGCGCGCGCAAATATACACGCGCGTATACGGCTTGGCATCCGGGGCTCTTCGTTTCTTAGCGGAGCTCTTCGTTCGCTTAGCGGGGCTCTTCGTTCGCTTAGCGGGCCTCTTCGTTTTGTTAACGGGTTTTTTTATTTTACCAAGTCAAAAATGTCAAACTCTTGGAGATGGATTGTTTTTTTACTTGACATATAATTTTGGGAGTTGGCAAATCACAAGATTTGCCAAGTAAAATTTGATAAACTCTTGGAGATGCTCGTATGTTTCTTTTCTGGTTGAGCCTGCCCAGCCCAACAGCCACCGTTCTTTTCCATGCCAAGGAGAAAGGAGCACAGGGGAGAAGAGGAAAGGATGGATTAGGGTTTGCCGCCGTCGCTGTTCATCGTGTCGTTCTTCCCTAAAACTGGTTCGGCGTCGTCTCCTCTCTCAATCTTTCCTCATCAATCTCTCGTTCCCCTCGCTGTCCATGATGGATTTGATACGTTTGGAGTAGATTGTGACGGCGAGAGGGTTGAAACGGCCAGAATCGTCTTGCGTTGGAGGAGGGCTGGAAGAAGAGAATGAAGGAGTAGACGCCGGGCGTTTCGTCGACGTGCTTTCTGTGGTTTCCCTAGGTGAGACGTCAAATTATGATCTAACTCTTTTGATCAAGTTTCATGAATTGAATCATTTGTTTAGATGGGGTTTAGTTGGAGCAATCCCCGAAATTAATTGCGTCCATGTTCTGAAATCCCGTCGGACTGAGCAGTGTCTATTAATATTTATTTTCGGATATCTTAGAGGCCTTATAAATTTTTGGCACTGTGGGCAAAGTTGTAGTGGACTTCAATACCTTAAATTTGACACCAATATCACCCTCATATCCTATGTATTTTGGAAGATATGGTCGGCTAAAGTAGACTGTTTTTCAGTGACAAGTTTTTGGATAGTTTAAGATCTAATCAGATTTCGGCCATCTTAATGGATGAATTTGAACTTTTGATCTGAACAAAAGTTGTAGTGTTTTGCTTAAGCTTTCCATAATGTTATAGAACATGTCTTTCAGATGAGTATATAATCAGTTATGAATTTTTTAAGATTGCTGTCATCTTTTGACTGTCAGAAAATTCTATTAAGTCAAGAGGATGTTTATGCTATTTTGGAGATCTCTTATGCCAAATCTTATTATACCGAAGTTGTAGATAATGGAGTTTTCTATCATCTCGTAGAAGCTTGAACGGTGGGTTTGGGGTGTTCTAGTGCGTTAGTTGTTGTTTATACTTGTTGGTGTGACGATGTTGGTACTGAGGATTTTTTTGATCAGGTGGTTTGCTTTCGGAGAGTGCCTAACTCTTTTGTTTGATCATCGGTAAAGGCAAGTAAACTAGGCGTTGTGGTCCACATGCTTTAGCTTTGTTGTTTGAATTGCTCCATTCAATTTTCAGTATCTCACACAAACAAGATAAATCTAAACTTTGAAGCATTTATTTACTCTGAAATATGCGATTTTATATCTTGTGGTATTGATCTTTAAATTATGAATTCTGAAGTTTATTAAGTGCATTCATTGCAACATTGCATTTACACTCTTTTCTGTTGATATGCATAGAAGAAACCGTAGACGAATTGGTGCGGTGTGTACCTGTACAACAACGCACGTTGATGAGCAATGTGGTTGCAGCCCTCGCTCCCTCTCCTTAGGACATGTCAGTAGAAGTGAAGTCATGCATTGCATTGCATCATCCTCATTTGCATAGCATCATTTGCAATTGCATTTTGAAGTATATGTATATTTCTCTGGAGCAAATGTTGTATCTATTATATTGAAGTATCTATTGTGTTGATTTATCTATTATTATGCCATTTAAATTTGATGTTTAATCAAACAGTGATTTAAATAGTTTGGTTAAAGTAGTTTGCTTGCTGAGGTTTTCAATAAACCTCATATGCCTGTTTCCCCATCTCAAGTACATGAGCTTCAAGGATGCTCGCCGGGATGGGAGTAGCAGCACGAGTGCACATTTGTTGGCATATAATTCAAACAAACAGATTTGTTACAACAAATTAGATGGTTATCGGAGTTTTTTTGTGCATTGTAATTGTCGGTGTTTCGAATAGCCGACTAGTAAATTTATATATTGCGCGTCTGATCCGGATGGTGTGCTAAGAGCATTGTTTTTGAGGCGTCGCACAAGGCGTGGCAGAGATGCTGGGCATCGGGGGCGCCACAACCTGCAATGGTATGGCGTCCGCCTAATCGTATTAGGCGTCGCCTAGGTGTAGAAAGGCGTCAGGCGGACGCCTACAGCCACGCCGCGGACGCCGTATGCCTACTCGTGGGGGAAGGGCGCCAAAAGACCGTGGCCCTGCAGGAAATCGTCCGCGCACCCGCGCGAAAAGCAACAGACGCGGGAAATCGAGCACGCGGCCGCCCAAATAGGACCTACGCGTGGGAAATCGACCGCGCGCCGCGAGTGCGGACGAGGGGAGAGGAAGAGAGAAGGCGGTGGGCTTACCTCGAGCTCCGCTTGGCTGCTCCTCTGCTCCAGTCCACCGGCCGTCCGCCCCTGTCGCGGAGGCAGCCGTGCATCGCACGTCGCTGCTTGCCACTGCCTCTGCCTCCGTCCGCACCTCCGTCGACTCTGCCTCCGTCTGCCCCGTCCGCAGTCTCCAGTCCACCGGCCGTCCGCAGTCGGCAGCTGCTTCTCCGCTTGGCTGTCCGCCCCTGCCATGGAGCCTGTTGGGCCCTTCCGCCTGGCTGTCCGCCCCTACATCTCCGCTTGACTGCGCCTCCGTCGGGCTCTTCCGCCTGGTATGTCCCCCGCCTCCACTCTGCTCCCTGCTTGTCTGCTCTGCTTGTCTGCTGTCTGCTCTGCTTGTCTTCCATCGTGCCCTTTTCCAAATCTCGTGCTCCTCTCGCTGCTGCTCTTCTTTGCTTCTATGCTGCTTCAAGTCTGAACACTGCTCTGCCTCCTCGTGCTTTCGCTCACGAACTCGAAATCTGGATATTGTTATAGCTGTTTTTTAGCACTAAACTCATGTTGCTATTCTCTTTAGCAATTGAACTGATGCAATTGTTCTCTTTAGCATCGAATCGATGCTTTGAACTATTGGAAGAGTTATCATCAATTTTCTATAGCACCGAATCGATGCTTTGAACTACTAGAAGGGTGATTTACACATTCAATGTTGATGAATTTTTGTTGTGACTGCTTTTGCTTAGCTTCAAAAACACTCTCTATCTTGATTATCATTGTTTTAATTTTTTCTAAAATAGCTGTTTTTGCTTAACTTTGATTAGCTAGTGACTTTCTGCTTTCTACTTATTGGTCAACTTCTCTTTCTATCAAAGTTGAAAACTGAATGTCGCAGTAAAGTCGTGACCATCCGAAAATGGTCGCTTCCATGTGTGCAAACCGAATGTCGATTGTGAAAACTAAATGTTGCACTACATAAGGCTCTTGCTTTCTTTTATGTAGCATCCAAAGAACATGGCAAGCTCAAGTGAAGCACCTGATTATGATCCCAAACCCGATCCAAAGAAGGAAAGCAAAGTCCAATGATCCAGTTGAAAATATGCCTCTTGGCGGGACCACGCTAGGAGAGACTGGGTGACATGTATCCTGTGGAAATGAGGCTTTAGGAGGCATAAAGAGGTTCAAGCAACATTTGGCTGGTGGATATGGAGATATTGTCCTTTGTCCAAAAGTTACCACTGAAATCAGGAAAGAGATGGAAGCTTACTTGCAAAAGAAGAGAAGAAGGCCTTTGTTCTTGGATGGTATTGAGGAAGAAGGTGGGGAAGATGAAGTTGTGGCGGTGGCAACAGCAGATGTACAAGCAGCAGCAGATGGGGGTGCAACACCAAAACCGGCTGCAAAACCAAGTTCTGGGACAGCCACCAAGAGAAGGCATGCTATCTATCAATTCAAGGCTTCAAGACCTAGCAATGGCAATTCAACACCAAAGACACCAAAGACAACAAAGTCTGTTGTTGCTATGCTTAGAAGAACTCCTGAACAGATAGTAGATCAAAGGCGTGCAAAGGACTTTCAACCCACCATTGAGTCCAGCACAAAGACTAAGGAGGAGAAGCAATATATGGATTTGCAATGGGCATTATGGTTCATGGAGTGTGGTGTATCCTTTAATACAGCAAATTCAAGGCAATTTGAAATTGCTCTCAATAGAAACAACAACCAATATGGTTCGGTACTAGTCTCCAAATAACCAACAGCTTGGTGAACCTTTGCTTCAAGAATGTGTTAAGGTGACAAGTGCCATGAGGAAGGACCATGAGCGAGCCTAGAAGCAATATGGTTGTACACTAATGTCGATGGATGGACTGATATGAGAGGGCGCCACTTGATTAATTTTCTTGTGAATGTTACGAGGAACATACTTTTTGAGTCAGTTGATGCATCAAGTCAAGTTCATAGTGCAACAATGTTAGCTAATTTGTTACAGGAGAAGATTGAGGACATTGGAAAGGATAATGTTGTTCAATTTGTGACCGACAATGGCGCTAACTACAAGGCTACTGGTAAGATTTTGATGGATAGGATTCCTAAACTGTTTTGGAGTCCTTGTGCTGCACATTGCTTGGATCTGATGTTGGAAGAAATTGGGAACGTGAAGGCATTTAAGAAACCTATTGCACGTGCTAGGCGTGTCACCACATTCATTTATAGGCATGGGAGGCTTCTTAGTGCAATGAGGGCTCAAACAGTGGGAATGATCTTGTTAGGGCAAAGAAAGACTCGATTTGCCACATCATTTCGACATTGAAGAGTTTGTACAAGAACAAGGATGCCTTGAAGAGCTTGTTTGTTAGTGAAGCATGGATTGGGAACAACTTGTGTACAACTATAGCAGGTCAACAAGTGCAAGACATTGTGCTATCTCTTGAGTTTTGGAACTCAATGAGAAGATTGCCTAAGAGCTTCAAAACCTAACTCTTAATTGTTTTGAGGGTCATTGATGGTGATGAGAAGCCTGCAATGCTAGAGGTCACAGCTCTAATAAATCATGCAAAAGATAGGATAAAGCTCACTTCAATATATCAACCAAGCGGGGACCGCTCAAGCGTATCATGGACATTATTGAGAAGCGTTGGGTGAACCAAATGGAGCATCCATTATATGAGGGCTGCACTATATTTGAACCCAGGAAAATTTTATCCTCTTGTAAAAGCTAATGATGATGCCACTGTTGGACAACTAAGAGGTTGTTTTATTGAAGTTCTTGGAAGAATGATACCAGATGTGGAAACACAAATGAAGATCAATAGGCAGGCCATTGAGTATGAAGAGCAACGTGGAGATGCCTTCTCAAACAAAATGGCAAAGGAAAGCTATGACAAAATGAGTCCTCGTAAGTGTTGTTAATCTCAACACAAATTTCAGCAACTTAATTGCATTCCAAACTCCTAATATGTGCTGTACTTTTCATCCAGTTGATTGGTGGCATTCTTATGGTGGTTTAGCCATTGAACTACAAAGACTTGTTAAACGTATAGTTAGTCTTTGTGCTTCATCATCCGATTGTGAGAGATCTTTGAGTACCTTCAATTTTGTGAGTATCCTTGTGATTAATAATTTCTATTTAGATGCATACAATTTGATTTTTTATTTTGCTTCCCATCTGATTTTTTTTTGTTTGTAGATGCATACAAAGAAAAGGAATAGGCACTTTGCATAAGAGATTGAATGATATTGTTTTTGTTTCATACAATCGGAAGATGAGAACAAGGTTTCACTTTATGCGAGAGAAGGCAAAAGAAATATGACCCTTTGGTCATTGAGGAGTTTGATTGGGACAATGAATGGGCTGATTCATTGCATGTGCCCATTCCGGTGTGCTCGAGGGTTTGATGTCAAATGAGCTCACATGGCGAAAGATGTTGATGAAGCCACCGGTGCATCACAAAGCATTGTAGGGTCGTAATCTTCCTAGGAGAGCTACTGCTACTCAATATTATAGTCGTTCAAGAAATGTTCTGCTCCTCACCATCGCTCTTGAAGATGGAGAAGAGGAAGATGAAGTTGAAGATCCACATGATGATGCGGAAGTGAGCGAGTGTGAAGATGGCAATGTTCTTGCTACTGAAGAAGACAAGGCTGTTGATCCTGATGAGTTTGATGATAGATTTTGAGTGCAAAACAGAGATTTACAAATCCTGTTGATGGATTCTTTTGTGTCTTGCACCCTTCTTGTACTTTTTTGGTGTAGTTGACTTAATTAGTATGCTTTAGAGTTCAGTACTTCATTATAAGTTTGTGGACTATGTGAGATGAGACTATGATGTCATTTGTCATGCTCATGCATGCACTAATGCTTGCTAATTTGTTATCTTGCCTCTTGTGTATTGTTTCCTATTTAATTCTCAAAGAATCGATAATGTGTTTGATTGCTGAATTCTTTAATTGTCATGCAGTTTCCTTCAAGGGGTTGGATGCTACATGGGAGAAGAGCTTTTGGAAAGGAAAGAAAGGAACATGGGCTCTAGAATTGGCAACAAATGAGGTATGCATGTGCTGCACTAGTATATAAAATTCTAGCTTACAACACCTTACAATATGTGTATGGCGTCGCCTAGGCGTTGTGAAGGGGGTCAGGCGCCGCGCCTCGCTGCGGCGCCTCAAAAACATTGGCTAAGAGGACACAAGGATTATACTGGTTTGGGCCGAATGTTCCTACGTCCAGTTTCGGGCTGCTCGTGTTACCAGCACTGAGTTTGTAGTATGGGGTTACAAACTGGCGAGAGAGGAAGGAGCTCCCAAGTCTCTATGGTTCGATTGCTCGATGCTTCTACTGCTCGATCCATCGGTTGATTCATCTCTCCTTCTGAACGGTGCCCTGCCTTCCCTTTTATCGACCAAGGGGAGAGAACAGGATATCAGAGACCGCGAGAAGGGAAGAGAGAAAAAAGAAAGAGAAATAAGACTCCCGGGGGTGTGCCGTCCTCCTCTTCACGTGGGTCCCGCTGACCCTGTAGATCGTGGTGGCAGTGGCGTCGCACCGGGGTCCTATTGTCTGCTGCAGGATACGTGCGGGCGTCGTGCGCCGTTCTTGTCTTCCATCCCATCCGAGCGGACGAAATGGTCAAAGGGTCCCCTGACAAATGCCATACGGGAGGCTGGCGGTACAGTGCCAGTCAACTAACGCCGGTCGACTGACGTTGGATGGTGGTCAGACAAGGAGTTGGTAGCACAGTGCTATCCTATTGACGCGGTGGGTGATGTGAGTCTCTCAGCATGGCCTGATGCGACCGCCAGTCGCATCAGGATGCGCCCGAGACATGCTCCCGGACATGCGCGTTCACGCCGTAGTGGTTGAAGCGGTTCGGGTCCCACCCTGGGGCCACTGCTTTTGTCCAGTAGCAAATTCGACCCCTAGGGAATAGGCGAGGTGGAAATCTTGCCCTGGGGTCGGGCGAGACGGAGCCCTCCCCGTGGGACCGGACGAGTCGGAGCCCACGCCTTGGTGTCGGACGAGGCGGAAACCTTGTCCTCGGAGTCGGAGCCCACGCCTTGGGGCCGGGCGAGGCGGAAACCTCGTCCTCGGAGTCGGACGAGGCGTGGCCTGGCCCCTAGGGGTCGGATGAGGCCGCAGTTGCGTCCTTAACCATCGGATGAGCCGACGTGACGCTCATTAATCCTTTGGCTCGGATACCCGGGTATAGATATCCGACAGTAATACACACCTTAGGTTTGCTAGTGGTCTTTGAAGATGCCTTTGTTTATGTCACCATAGAAGAATTAATTTTATGCTTAATTTAGATGATGTGTTTTTGCTTCCGTATACTACTCGGTAGTTATAATGTAGTGTGGTAATTCTTTAGAGGATTGTTGTGTTTTCTTCTGGGGTGTTACAAGCCCGGTCCGAAAAATCGACCCGATGGACCATGTCTTGGCCAGTGGCCATGCACGAAGCACGACCTCGGCACGGCCTGGCGGCGTGACATGCCATGCCGGCCGACCCCCTCGGGGCTGTGCCTAGCACAGGCCCATGCCGTGTCGGGCTGGACCAATCCGTTGGCCATCTATAGTTATGCCGCTCAAACGTGTCGCCACCACGGAGCTAAACACAGCCTTTGTTAACTGTACACTTATAAGTGTTCAGATATTCTTGTGAAGAATCAGAATCATATGCTTCCCGTCTCCCACTGGCTGTAAATAGAGGGCCCACTTGATGATATATTAAGAAAATAGAAAGCAGAAAATAATAAATAAATATTAAAAAGAAAAAGCATCGTCTCTATTTCTCAGCGGCGTGTTCGCTGGTTGATTTCTGAGCTGATTTGGGTTGGCTGATGCTGGTTTGGTGTGAGAAAAAAACACGGTTGGATGGTTAAATAAGCCTTACTGCAAGCGAACGGAGCGCAAATCTCATCGTCTTCGCTCGCTATGCTACAGCGTCCGGCCGTCCGCGTCTCGCGGATCACCGCTGATCTCGCTCTCACGTTCTCCTCTCTCCTGCCGCTCTTGGTCGAACTGCTTCGAACCCTAGCCGCCGGAGCATCAGATCAGAAAGGGACTTGGCGGTGGAGCATAAAATCGGAGCAGACTTTCGCCCCCTCGCCTACAGTGGGTCTACTGCTGGGCATTAAATCGGAGGTGGGCAGCCCAGCGCCTGGGCTGGCGTGGGCGCGGTCGCCGGTCCGGTCGACACGCACACAGAAGCATGACCCAACTCCGGTCTCCAGCTAGGTAAATTTCCCCATTCCCAATCCAAATTCCAATCTTTGTTTCAACGGTTGAATTCCCAATCCATAAATCCTCATATCACTTGCCATTTGACAAGTCTGGTTATATGTCTTTGTCAATTTTCGTAGAACTATAGAATTATACGGACTATGCTATTAAAATGCTATGTGAATATGAAAGGTGAGGGCGAACTTAATTAGGTTCTTTTTACCAAATTTTTTTTCATCAAGTGTACTGAAGATTTAAGCATGAAATTGAGATATCATCTAATATAAACTTATGCATTTATGAGCTTGTTTTGTTATTTATTCCCACCATTCCAAATTATAAGATGTTTTGACTTTTTTAATTCATAGCTTTTGCTATGCACCTTGATATATGTTACGTAGATACATAGTAAAAACTGTTAATCTAGAAATGCTAAAACGTCTTATAATTTGAGACAGAGGAAGTACCAGTATTAGACCTGTTGTGGGTGGTACGTATTTGATCCTGTGCAGGTGGTATACACACTTTGATAATGGCCTTGGTGTGAATATTGACCAGCTCCGCCACTCCATCTCTTATCTTGCAGGAATTTCACTAAGTATACTTCTGCCATCAATTTTAGTGAAGAATTGATTGTCTTCAAGCTGTTCTAATTCACCATGCCACAGTCATCCGCAGAAAAAATGCCGTCAGTTTATCTGTACATCCCTAACATCATTGGTATGCTTCTGATGGTTGTCTGTTTACTGTTTCGAGCTAACTGGAATTTCATTAATACTATATGCAAATGGTGTCCATATTTAACCTTGACTTACTTTCTGGTATTGATTATGTGTACTTCGTTCGTTCTATTTTCGGTGTCCATATGTAAACGTAACTTCTATATTGTAGTTTGGTTGCCATTTTGCTGCTGGTAGCAATGGTGCCTGTGCCCAAGAGTATCAATACATAAGAAACCAAAAGTCTAATGGGGCGCGTACTTCCCCCAACAATGTAATTTGTTTATTTTACATGCTGAATTCAAGTTTTTACTTTTAGCTTGTGGATGAGTAACTTAATAAAGTTCAGATTTCAACTAAGAACAAAATTTATTAAACAATCTGCTTTTAGCATGTGTCTTAAAAATGCAAATCTGTTGGACTCAACCTTCAATAATTGATATCGTTCAGGGTATTTCAGGATCATCATAAATTTCATTGCATTTGCTGTTCCAACAGGCTCCTCTTTGCTATCTTGTACTTCTTCAGGTGATTGTCATAAACTTTTCTGCAGCCTATGTATGTTCACTATAATATGCAAACGGTTCATCTATCTATCCTTATGCAAACGGTTCATCTATCTATCCTTGCAAAAATTTCAGTTTTGTCCTGGATGGCGTGGATGGTTGGTTTGCACAGAAGTTTTAACAACAACAACAAAGCCTTTAAGTCCCAAACAAGTTGGGGTAGACTAGAGTTGAAACTCAGCAGAAGCAATCAAGCTTCAGTCACGTGAATAGCTGTTTTCCAAGCACTCCTATCTAAGGCTAAGTCTTTGGATATATTTTATCCTTTCAAGTCTCCTTTTATTGCCTCTACCTAAGTCAACTTCGGTCTTCCTCTGTCACTCTTCACGTTACTATCCTGACTTAGGATTCCACTACGCACCGGTGCCTCTGGAGGTCTCCGTTGGACATGTCAAAACCATCTCAACCGGTGTTGGACAAGCTTTTCGTCAATTGGTGCTATCCCTAATCTATCACGTATATCATCGTTCCGAACTCGATCCCTTCGTGTATGACCGCAAATCCAATGCAACATACGCATTTCCGCGACACTTATCTGTTGAACATGTCGTCTTTTCGTAGGCCAACATTCTGCAGCATACAACATAGCAGGTTTAATCGTCGTCGTATAAAACTTGCCTTTTAGCTTCTGTGGTACCCTTTTGTCACATAGGACACCAGATGTTTGGCGCTACTTCATCCACCCTGTTTTGATTCTATGGCTAACATCTTCATCAATATCCCCGTCTCTTTGTAGCATTGATCTTAAATATCGAAATATATCCTTTCTAGGCACTACTTGACCTTCCAAACTAATATCTTCCTCCTCCCGAGTAGTAGTGCTGAAGTCACATCTCATCATCAACAACAACAAAGCCTTTAAGTCACAAACAAGTTGGGGTAGGCTAGAGTTGAAACCCAGCAGAAGCAATCAAGGTTCAGGCACGTAAATAGTTGTTTTCCAAGCACTCCTATCTAAAGCTAAGTCTTTGGATATATTCCATCCTTTCAAGTCTCCTTTTATTGCCTCTACCCAAGTCAACTTCGGTCTTCCTCTGCCTCTCTTCACGTTACTATCCTGGCTTAGGATTCCACTACGCATCGGTGCCCCTGGAGGTCTCCGTTGTACATGTCCAAACCATCTCAACCAGTGTTGGACAAACTTTTCTTCAATTGGTGCTATCCCTAATCTAT